TTCTGGGAGTTGAAGTCCACACATCTTAGAGCCGCCAAGGTTGAGAAACACTGCTTTAAAGTATGTAAAGGCATGAAATGAGACCCTGTTTTCAATGGCTAATGGGAACGCAACAGGTAAGAAAGCTGTCAGCTCTTGCCATAATTTTTAAAATGAAAGTTCAGGTGTCAGGATTACTGAACATCAGTTTGAAATTACACAAAAAAAATCAAAGACCACGTTGGCCATAAGAAAAATTTCACATCAATGAACCTGATCTCTGGTTTTGATAATATAAAAACCGTCTGGCTTTGTGCTATACCTCTTTCCTACAAAGAAAGTTTTACCTGCATTGGAACAGGGCAGACTTACTTGTATGGAGTACATAATGATCTTAAAGCAATGGACAGCAAATTCATTCGGGTCCCACAGTCTGTGATGGCCTAAATGTCTGTTAAAAACAAGTGAATGTTTATTTCCCTACCTATTCATGGGGCACACAACTGGTCTTCAATTTCAGCATAGTAACAAAAAAGCAAGATGTCTACATAGGCTGCTGTTAGTTCTCCCAAGACTTACAAAGATGGATGGCACTGCCATCCTGAATGCATGCCAATGTTTGCCATAAGACTGCTGAAAATGAAAACCACAATCTTACAGTCGTAGGGCCGGAAGGGACTGGGAGGCCTCCTAGTTCAACCCCCTGCCCAGGGCAGGAATCCTCATTCCAGTCTGGACAAATGGCTGTCCAGCCTTCATTTGAAAACCTCTGGTGGCAAAGCACCCGTGACTCCAAGAGGCAGGCCGTTCCACTGCTTCAGAGCTCTCGCAGTCTGGAAACTCCTCTTTATTCCCCCTCCTCACTGGGCAGATGCATTTCTGGCCAAGGAAAGGAGAGGCGATCTCCTGGCTGACACAGAATCTCTGCGTACTCCCAGGGGCCAAGGCCAGGGGCCCTGTGTTGCACGCAGCCCTTCCGGTTGTCACTGAGACTACAAAACATGGCGCAGTGGATTAAACTTGGCAGCCCAGGAAGGCCTGTACCTTAGAGGGGGAAAAAGCTTACACCTGGCCAGCCCTAGTATTGCCTGCTGGGGCCTAAGAGCTGGCATCTACCTGGAAGCGTGGCTGGAAATCGTGCATGGAAGTTTATATCCTGTCCTTTTTTTATGCAGCACAAGCCAGGATGTACTTAATTCATTTTCCTCCAGTGTTAACTCCACAGGGAAAGTTAAGCAGGTAGGCGCAAGGCCCTTGCTCAGGTTCCCAAGAGGCTGTACGGTATGTGGCCACGCTCTGCCCGCTCTTCCCCGCTGCTTTTAGTCCTTTTGACAAGCCAATCCAGTTTGCAAACATGGATCGTTAAAGAATGAAAGAGAAGATCAGAACGGCTTAGCAGAACCCCTTGCTTCAGGAGCTGCACCGTCTCACTTATCTCTCACTCCTAGCAAAACCCTAACAATTCTGGAGTTCCCACTTACGCAAAGACCGGCCGGACGGCATTGCTCATGTTTCCATAGGTTGCACGCCCCAGCAGCTCCCGGAAGCAATTCTCGGCCAGCCCAGCAGGGTTCTCCTCTTTCTCACCCGTCGGAGAGGAGGGTGGCCCGATTCGACTGGAAGGAAAACAGAGGCTGGGATGGGAATGCCAAGCCGAAGCTTGCCAGGGATGCTGACGGCCACAAGCGCTCCTGGGTGAGACGTCCGCCTCTGGCTCCCCGAGCCCCTTTCCTTCTTGCCTCCCCCTCGCACACGGCTGCCACCATTTTCTTTCCCAGGGGAAACTCGAAGGGAGAGAGGATGCAGCAGCCTTCTCCAGGGCAGACGTACCCGTCGGGGTCTTCCATCTTCTGCATGTTGAAGAGCAGCGAGGGAACAATCTTGTCCATGTGCTGAGGCTCCCAGATGGTGGCTCTGAGCTCATCGTTCACCGTCTTGCGCACTACCCCCTGGATGCCCCTGATGCCGGCGATCCGGATCCTTGTGGGGAGAGGCAGAAACACTGTCAGAAGGGGAAGGGGGGCAGGGGTGACCGTGCGACCCACAGACCTGGCAAGGCCAGTTTCCAAGTCTCTGAATTCAATCTTTCTGTGCAGGCAGACGGGACAGGGTCTAATGAAGTGACGGGGGGGATGACAGATAGAAACATACTAACAGAAGCCAGCACGTTTGCTGCCCCTCTATCCACTTTTAACAATAAGTTTCTAGCCCTCTTTTTTTATTGCCCAAGGTGCCACTTCGTGGATTTAGCAATCACACCACAGCTGATCTTTTTAAACTTCAGGTTCTGAAGCTGAGGAACAGCCCCGGGCCAAAGGTGCTTTGTAACATCATGGGCCTCTGCCCACCCCTTTCCACTTTGCTCCCCACTGGTGGCAAAAACAGGGTTGTTCTGATTGTTGAAATATGTACTGGAATTGCTCCATTGCATTTGTGTGCCCTTGGATGCTGTCTGAAAGTGCTGAGGCCCTGCCGGGAGCACTTTTGTGGGAGAAGAGCACACGAAGTTCACTGCTCATCATTGCAAAGCGCCTCCACTCTCTGCGATGACCAGAGGCACTGGGCAAAAAGAGAACAGCTCCTTGCTGTCCCCTGAAATTAGCACATTCAAAGAGATGCACACAGATGCTACTGCAGGAAAGGTGACCTTAAAAATGTGTGGGATAAATATTGTCAGATCTGTTCCTTCCATAAAATTAAACAAAACTGTGCATGGCTGAGAGTCAGTGGAGAAAGATTCCTGGTTAGCTAACTGAAGAAACAACTGGAAAGCACCCCTTTCACCCCCCTCTACTTACTCATTCCGTACTTCTGGATCATTATGGCAGGAGTGACACATGGCACTGAAGCGAGACACAAAGAAGTCGTAGCGACGGTGATAGGAAGGTGTGTCCTCCTCAATGTTTGCAAACTTGACGAACTGCAGGGTGAGAAAAGGAGCAAGCCAGCCACAAGGTTAGGTACAAAGCGATGAAAGCTCTGAAAAAGTAAAAGCAGCAGGGCTTATTTCTTTTCATAGCTTGCGGTACAGTAAGGTGTCTACCCTTCAAGGTAGATCAGATCAGGAAACCAATTCCACAGGAAGACCAGAACCCTGCTTGACTGAGACAGGCTATAACAAGAGAACCTTGCAGGTCTGCCTGTCTCGTCCTGTCCTGTCCTGTCCTGTCCCTTCCCTCCCTCTTAGACCCCAGGGAGTCAGAGAGTGGGCATCTGAGTCTCTTGGTAACCTCTCCTCTCTGGACTTAACATCTGTTTCTCCTGCACCTGGTGTTCCCCTAAAGGGCTCTGGATTCCTTCTTCACGGTCACCTCCCAGGCTCTAAACACAGGGAGTGCAGATGGTCTGTTATGGCTGCCATTCCTACTGCCCTTGGTCAGTTTTTTCCTAATTGTTTATTAATTGCTTAGCCCCAGATTATTGGGTGGAAGTGTTTGGCCGTAAGGCTGTCTGTGAAAGCAAATCTTCTCTCGAGATCCCAGACCGAAGGAGCAAGAGGCTGTGACTCAGCAAGAAGCAAAGGCCCTCAACCACGTGGCTACACCAGGCCCAGGAGAGCCTTCTTCTTTAAGGATCACCACAGCTTTCCTACACATTAAACCTCTGGGCCTTCAGGACCACACTGGCAAATCTCCAGGATGGCAAACCTCATCTCCCCAAATGGCAAAAGGCCACTAACTGTCCTTTTACCATAAGACAAGCAAAGAGGCCTCTGGTGATCAACTCATATAAGCTATCTAGCCACCCAGATCATCTCTGGAGACCCCTCTTCAGCTGAAGGTGAGGTGGGGAATACCCAAAGTTCACCCTGGGTCTGCATCACTCACTCTACAATGTTTCTGATGCCAGCTGCACTTTCAGTGAATAACAGGACCGATTTTAGTTCTGTCTTGAAACGCAGTTGCCACAGCCTGCATTTTTCTTATAGCTGTGCTTGGCCTACCGGATGCTAAATTGTGCTTTACATTTGTTTACTAAGAAACACGATAAAAACATTTTAGCTACCTCCCTGAAATACATCGCCCAAGAAACACTTGAGCACCCCAGATACTGCCTGGCCCTGGCAGTTATTCTCAAGCGTCTCCATCCCTTGGGCTCTGGAGGAGAGTGCCCAGGCCCAAGATCCCACCCGAGCTCCCCGCCAGACTGCAGACATCAGCTCTTAGGAAGAAAACGGCCAGGCCATCTTCCTCAGGACTGCATCAGGCTGTGAAGTCTAATGGGGCCACGACAGGCAGGTAACACAGCTGTCTTTCAGTCAGCTGGAGGAAGCAGAATCAGTGGACGTTGAAAACATTGCCCAAAAAAGCAAAACCATGCTGGAAAAACGTAAAGGACAACTCACTAGCCCTTCAGTCACCTATGGAAACTCGAGGCACATGAATCAGCAGAGCACCCGGCTAGAAGATATCCATCTCCCCCAGTGGGACCATCTGCCAAGATGCCAAACGGAAAAGTGCCTTCTGCCCAAGGCAGGCAACCCCACCCGTGAAAGGCATGGCTGCAGGCATGGCGGGAGGCAGGTTCTCCTTCCCAACCTGCCCCCGCAGGAAATGTGAACCTAATTTTTGTTTGGGACTTTCCTTTGGTTTGGGAAGGACTCTTGAGTTTGGAGACCAGCTCACCTGGCCAACCTTGGCTGAACTCCAAAAAGCTAAGCAAGTTCAGAGCCAGTTGGTCCTTGGATGAAGAACCACCCAGATACCCTAGAGCTGTAAGCTAGACTGGAAAAAAAAATCTGAAGAAAGGCTGCCCCATTCTGCCTTTCACATGCTGTGAATTTTACCCCATTCCTCCAAAGCTCCTGTCGGGGTGCAGGCCCAAATTCCAGACTGTGAGAGAATAAAGTGAGGAGGTACAGGGAGAGCTCACTTACAGAGTTGGTTCCCAGGACTTGCAGTTTGGGGTCTCCAGACTCCAGCAGTTTGGCCACCATGTGGAGGAAGCTCTCCACAAAGGGTTTGATGCTCTGCGAGTGGCAAGCCATGAGGAGCTGATCCAAGGCTTCCATTGCAATGAATACGTACCTGAGCACCAAGAGAGAACAGGGACAGGTCAGCGCGGGCCTCCCGTGGGAGCCGCCTTGCACCAGCCGGCAAAGGCCTCTTCCACCAGGCCTGTCCACAGGCACAGGCACAGGCACAGGCACAGGCACAGGCACGCTTGTGCCAACCAAATGTGTGTGTGTGGGGGGAAGGGACTGATCCCATTTTCCCTTTTACAGAAGTAGTCCAGCTTCCCAAAAGCTAAGCGGAAAGAAGCTTTCCGACCCAGATGGGTGCTGAAAGTTGAAACACACACAGAAGGGATTTAGAGTCACACTTTCAGAAATGGACATGAGACGCATGGAGACCTCACCCATAGCGGTGCCGGATGACATCCCGGCTCAGCCTTTCTGCTAAATAGGCGCCGATTCGATCAAGCTTCTCTGGGGCAGAGACCGCATAGAAGGTCAGTTTCTCCATGTCGGATTTGACGAGGCCATCCTAGGTAGCCAAGAGAACCATCGGGGTTGTTAAGCATCGGGCGGCTTCCCCTTTTACGCTCCATCTTGGAGGATCTGCCTCAACCCCAAGGTGTGGGCACGCCAGGTGGAAAAGAACTGCAAAATCTTGGCAGTCAGGTCAGTTTGATACCTCTCTGAACACGATCTTCAGCAATCCCAGGAGGAGGAAAATAAATAAATGCAGCAAAGAAGCAGAAATAACCTCGGATTCCTGAATTCAGATATTAATCACTGACTTTCCTCACTGTCAGCCTTGGCAAACACAAGTTCCACGTTTAAAAATGCAAGGAAAGAAGGAAGGATCCTTGCTCAGGCTGGCCACCTATTTTTAAAGAACTCCTTCAATGCTCCTGTCTTTAAGCAGAAGGGAAGCCGCTTCTTAATCATAAACACGTAAGAATGGGCTTTAAAAGGTAAACACAATTATGTAGCTGGGCACTATTCCATACGTTCCTGGCATTTACAAAACCGCAATTCACAGCAACTACAGCTCGAGGAGGAGGGGAAAAAAACCAGCATTCTCCCAGTGCAGAGGCTGGATAGAATAAGAGCCAGTTTGGTCTAGTGACGAAGGCCCCCGGCTAGAAGGCAGGAGAGGGGGAGTCCTCGTCCTGCCTGAGGCGTGAAAGCTGGCTGGGTGACTGTGGGCCAGTCCCTCTCTCTCAGCCCAGCCCACCTCACAGAGTTGTTGTGGCGGGGAAAAGAGGAGGAGGAGGAAGGAGGGTTAGGTATGTTTGCCACCTTGAGTTATTTATAAAAATAATAAAGGCGGGATAAAAATCTAAAAAAAAAATGCTGGGAAGCAGCTGGCCATCAAGAGAACGCCTCCAATCCCCTTGGCTGCACAAAGCCATAACGTCTGGGACTTAACATGGTGCATGAAGCCAGACATTTGCAATTTATTTAACAAACCAGAGTTGAAAGAAATCTAACTCAGCTCTGTATGTCACCCAGCCTGCACTGACTGAAGAATGGAGGAAGACGACAGCCCAAGGGCCACTCCCTTCTCCAAAATCTCCTCACAGGGCAGAGTCACTCGCTTGACTCCTTTCTGATATTGTGAAAGTTTGCTCTTACGTGAGAAAAGTCTTTGGAAGTAAGATTTGGCTTTCGAGTTTTACTGAAGGTAAAAACCCAGAGAATCAGCTTGAGAAGAGGTGGTCTTGTGTGAAATAAAAAAGAAATAGGCACGTAGGTGTTTGCGAATGCGTCTAGGTCAGGGCTGCATAACGACCGAGCTGCTAATCAGGAGCTGCTGCAAAAGCTCCTCACTTACTTTGGGGTCTTCGGGGAATATGTTATCCACCAGGCGCTTGTATCGAGGGCGCAGGGCAGCACAGCAGCAGCAGACACCTGCGGAAACAGCGGCTGTGAGAACGGGGCTCCCCAGGGAGGGGAAGGTCGTTTCAGAAGGGTTCTTCTTCTGGAACGCAAGGAGTGCGTGTCTACAGGGCAGGCACAAGAGCAGCGAGGTGGCCCTGCGTGGCGTCCCCCTCAAGTCTTCCTAACGATCAGTTTCAGGCCGTGAAATGGCAGCTGTGCAACAATTTGAGATCGCAACCCTGAGACACCGCTGTAGGACGGTGGGGGAGCTGCAGCCGAAGGGGGGAGGAGGAGGAGGGTCTTCATGCGTACAGAGACTCGGGCAGACTTTCACTATTAAGCTGTTCCTCAAAAGAATAATACTCGTCAGCAGCACACACATGCATGTGTGAATTTGGAAGCATCTGAGAAATCAAGGAAGCCTCTGTCAGGGAAAAAACCTCATTAAACACGGGAGACAGACACACCATAAAACAAGTCACGTCAAAGTTCTATCTCTAAACTGTTAAATAAGCAGACTTGTTCCCTGGTCATCACACTTTCCTGTTCCCTTTGTCCCTGTCACGTCTGTTCCCATCAACAAGTCTGCTTATTTAACAGTTTAGAGATAGAACTTTGACGTGACTTGTTTTATGGTGTGTCTGTCTCCCGTGTTTAATGAGGTTTTTTCCCTGACAGAGGCTTCCTTGATTTCTCAGATGCTTCCAAATTCACACATGCATGTGTG